CAATCGCCAATGGCTCCTTTTGCGGGAGTCGCAGAATGATGAGACCTTCGCGACTGACGCCAATCGCATTCGTGCCCGGGTATTGCTTGTTCTGCTCCACAAGAAAGTGAAAGAAGTGAGCCAAGCCAAGGGGTGGTGATGGCGCCGTAGTGTCAGAGATAGTCGGCTATCATTAAGGAGGGAGATAGGGCACCTCGCAGAAGAAGATGGTGGAGCCGTAGTACTTCCACCTCCTGACGGTGGCGAGGTAGAGCTCCTCGGCCACCTGCACGGACATGTTCTTGTCCAGATCCTCGAACTCGTTGAAGATCGCCAACAACCACTCGGTCTCCGATTTCCGTTGCGTGTGTCGTGTGTCGTGTGTCGTGTGTCGTGTGTCGTGTGTCGTGTGTCGTGTGTCGTGTGTCGTGTGTCGTGTGTCGTGTGTCGTGTGTCGTGTGTCGTGTGTCGTGTGTCGTGTGTCGTGTGTCGTGTGTCGTGTGTCGTGTGTCGTGTGTCCGTGTGTCCGTGTGTCGTGTGTGTTGTTAGCCATCAAGAACCTGTGCGCGCGGGAGGTGCTTGCGGTACATTTGTAGGGCGAACGGGGGCAGGAAACGGACGGCCTGCATGAACTCGTTGTTCTTAGTCGCCATCGATGCGCGGCCTCGGTCCTTGACCGTGCGCGACACCTGGATGAAGTACTGCAGCGCCGACAGGTACGCCGCCTGATCGATATGGTGGTGGCCCAACATACGTAAGAGAGAGAGAGAGAGAGAGCGAGAGCGAGTCAGCCGACTGTCAAGGTCACCCCCTCCCCCCTCCCCAACAACGGTCCGCCGCGGAGAGGTTCAAGTGCGCACCTCGCCTTCGGTGACGGGGTGCTTGCCCGAGTTCACGAGAGCGATTGCCTGTGTTGCATCGGACGCGTGTGAGCTGACAATCATCACAAAGCCCACTTGCATTGTCGGCACCATCACCACAACGCAAACATAAATAAACAGTCAAAAATAAAATTAAATAATAAATAAACGTGAGGTACCTGGTGGCACAGCAGATGGTTGGCGATCGGGTCCGAGAGTTCGTTCTGTGGGTTGAGCGACATCGACTCCTAACAAATATATTAATTGTGTTGAGTGGTGGTGATCCACGCCAAGGCGAGCACGAGAGAAGGAATGGAAGGCAATGTCATGTTTTTTATACCTGGAACACGAAGTGGAGGGCCTCCTTGCTCTTGGGGGGTGTCACGAGCTCGAACTTGGCCATGATGTCGCAAATGTTGTCGCGCTCCAGCAGCAGCGTGCCGACGGCTGTGTGCGTGCGTGCGTG